GGAGGGTCGAAAATTCGATCAGACTTACCGGCTTGCGTATCGAATCTTGGTCGAAATTAATTCGTCGAACTTTTTAATTTTGAAATGGGCGCATGGATGGTGTGACGTTTGCTGCAATTAAATTCAACTCAAATTAATTGGTTCGACTCTAGCATAGATTCGACTTGCCAAGTCGGATAATGCGACAGTGGTTCGGCATTTCAGCAAACGCCGCTCTAAACACGCGCTGAACTATATTCATAAATCATACGAATTACAAAATAATTGATTCAAATGTGATGGACGGGGCAAACGCCACAAAAATACATACTCCTTCATCTGCCAAACGCTATTTTGCGGTACAAAGACAATTTCGCGACCGGAAATGCATTCTCGCCCCCAGAGGCCGCGCTCCTTTTGGTCAGCACCAAAAGGAGCGCCTCTGGGGACAGGAATGCCGGAAGGGAATGCCGAAAGTCATTGCTGACATCGCACAGCATGATGGAAATGTGTTGTTCCTGTTTCATTAACACTGAATATAAATGAATATAGATGCTTGAGATGCGAATTGCCTACTTGCTCAGTGATTAAAGAAAACGAGGTCGTTGAGGGATAGACAGCCAGTAAAAGCATTGCATACCGTGAGGCTTTTGACAGGGACCTAAAGAGAACCGTGCCGGGTCTACCGTTGTCTGAAGAGAAGAGTATTGGCATTTCGCTAGCAAGCAGCAACTAGTCGCGCATCGAGTGAATAGCACGGAGACACGTGCTTATTCCCGTGTTTTAATGAAGGGCAACTTGTGAAATGGGATGGACGCAGGTTCGACGTTTGCTACCGCGCTGAAATTAAGTTGACTCTTTGTTGCACCTGTTTTTAATTTATTCGACGCGACTTGGATTCCATGTTTGCCCTAGGCCTTAAATAAGAAGACATTGCACGTGATAATTCCTTGTTTCATTAAATAATTAGAATTAAATAATAGAGTTATGTAACCTACGCAATCCGGAATCTCGCGGCATAAACATGCCTTAGGCATGAGTAAGGGGATCGGCGAGGTAGCTTCCTTTCGGGTTTGGCTACATCGCATCATAGACGTCGGCGACACACGCCTCCCCCTCCCTCAGGATATCGACAACACGCTGTTAACAGTTTAGTAAAATTTTCAAGTTTCGCTCTCTCAGTATGACTCAACTATGTGTCTTTACTCTTGATTGATGATAAATTTAGCCATTGGGCATACGAGACATTTGATATTATTGGGATTTTTAAAGTATTTGGTATTTTTATCGTCATATGTAGACTTGTGTATTACATTGCCTATTTCATTTATTTTTCTGTCTTTGAAAAACTTCCTTTACGAAAGTCAGTAAAGTATAGTTGTAATTCAATGTTGTGTAACAGTTGTCACGTTCCCTGAAATATGAATTATCAACAACTGAGGATCAACGCTGAACGACAATAACGACCATAAAAACGCTTTTAAGCACTAAGATGCTATGCATCATTTTTCCCACTGCTTACGTTGATTGTTTTTGTGATTCAAGGCAAGGAGTCAGGAAAAATTCAGCAACTTGAGAAGAAAAACATTCAGCTGGAGATTAGACTCGACCTCAGTAAGAAGGCAAGAGAACGTTCCTATTTGGAGCTGCAGGAGCTAAAAGATAAGGTTGTTGACCTTGAAGAATATTTGAGCGATATAGGCTTTCTGTACCCACGTTATCGGTCAAGACGGCGAGCTGAGCGCATGCTGGGCAGCGTATCTGGTATGTTACATGTAATAGGTTAATACATAATGGAACTGATTACAGAATATAGCATATGCAGAAGAACCGCGCTTAGATCTTTATATTGTCGACTTATTTATTTATTTATTTATTTAATCATTTATTTATTTATTTACTCAAATTCAATTACACAGATGATCAAAATAAAATAAAATATATATAAGCAATAGCCTCCATTTGGAGCGAAAATGTGCTTGGATATTTGTTCGCGGTCATTATCTGGTCCGAGTAGCGAACAGTTTTCTGAGAGCGTAGCTCGAGGAAAACTGTGAGCTTTGAGGAACAGATAATTAATGTCCAAGGACAAATATCCGAGCATATTTTCAAAGTCAAATGGAGGTCATTGTGTTTATTATCCTTCAAATATCTTTCCAAAACACGCGAAGTTTTGAAAATTGGGGAATTCCCCAGTTT